AATACTGGACTATGAAATTGAGCATCTAGTAGTAAATACAGAGGTGGGACCAGAGATAAGGGAGCCTATAAACAACGCCGAAGCTTTAATTATGCACTTAGGAATGAGTTTTTGTTTAGCAAGAAATAGAATGTGTGGTAGTCAAGAAATAACTTGGTTTTTCTGGATTTATAATTCAGCCAAAGTTGGCTTCTGGCTGAAAACTTGGTGTATTGTTTCAGTCTGCCTATGAACATTTTATTTAACTACGTTTGACAAATAGTGACACATGGAAATAAACCTTGTACTTTTCATGGTTTGTTTTTTCAAAAATCTAGAACAAAACCTGATTACTTTGTTCAATATTTATTACAAGAAATTTATTTAAACTGAGATGGTGTAGCTCTCTGCACCCCTCCCCACCCCGCCCCAGCACTGCTCAGCTCCCCACAGTAGCTAGGAGCTGAGCAGTGCCAGGACTCATGAGCTGCTTGCTTCCCTGCACAGCCCAAAGCTGGCCAGGAACTGTCACATTCTGGGGCAGGTCCCAGTCAGCTCCTGGTCGTGCAAAGAATTCACCACACAGCCCAGGGCTGGCTGGGAACTGTCCCATTCTGAGGCAGGTCCCAGCCAACCCTGGGCAATGAGAAGAGTCTTCCACAGAGAAAAAATGCCCCAGAAGCAGAACAGTTCCTGGCCAGTGCCAGGCTGCCTAGGGAAGCCCCTCTGGGGGTGGGAGAGCTCTGCAGCAGCAACTGTTTCCCAGCCCATGCACATCAGGACCCCTCCTGATGCGTATGAGGCCAAGAGACAGCTGCTGCAACAGCTTGCAGAGCTCTTCTAGTCCTATGTGCAGTGGGCCTTTCCCTGTGTTCCCTGCCAGCCCCTAAGCTAGCACCCAGGGGGATCCTGTAGCTCCCTCTAGCTGCTGCATTGGGACAGCGGAGTGAGAGCATATCTGCTCCCAAGAGGGAGCATATGTAGACATGCTCCTGGGTAGGCTTACTGTGCAGTATTTTTACTGCTCAGTAAGCCTATTTTGAATTAATAGCATGTGTAGATGCGCACCCAGTGAGTATTTAAAAATAAATAAATAAATAAAGGGAGAAGTGAGTTTGAAATCTAGCGGTACTGGGAAATTAAGCCCTGTGTTTATTAACTGCATGAGCAGTGGCAGGGCAAGCTTCCTAGCAAAACTTCAAGCATACTTGCAGCAAATTTACATAAACTTCAGTTCAGCCAAGCAACTGAATATGAGTTTAAAGTTGAATAAGTTCTTTGCTGGATTGGGACCTTAATCTTCTAATGCATAGGTCTTAGTATGCTAAATATATGTATTGCAGTGGTCACTCTCTTAAAACCTGCCAGTATTTATGGCAGTAACCGGAAGGTATATATCAGTGTTCCAGTATTACTATTCTTCTGACTAACTGTTGGGAATACTTGAAATACACAGATAATGAGTTTATTTGCTTTAAATGAATTTTTGTAATTATGATAAATTATTTTCCTAAGTACCAAAAGTTATCTGAAATGATAATGCAGTATTAAATTAAACTCCATGACTAAGCAGTAATTAATTAATTAACATATTTACAAACTGTTGAACTAGATGCACATCCTCAGTGTAATTAAATAGGTTTAAAAAATTGAAACTGGAATGGATTGATTAGTGTGACAGAGACCTTAGTATGAGAGAAAATGAAAAGAACTCTGGTCCAATTAATATTTCTTTATACAAAGTAGAACAGCTCTAAGAAGAGAAATTGGGAGATCCCTGCCCTAGAATAGCTGGTAGACTGGTGGGTGGTCAAGACGCTTACCTGAAGTGGGAAACTGAGGATCAAGACCTTGGTTTGAATTTGGCAGAGCATGCGTTTGCACTTTGGTCTCTTATGTCACCACTAAACGATTGACTATCGTGAGTTGGTAAGGATCTAATTTACCAAGCCTATGCTGACACTGGGACCATCATAGAGAAAATAAGCCCTTCCCACTTTCCCCTTGTTTACTCAGACAGCAGAGGTGGTTTGGGATTGGCCCAGGGTGGCTTGCAGTTGGCCTTGGGTATGCACCATAATACTGCTCTCAAGTTCCCTGTTTTTTGGTGATGCTGAGGGTGGTGCTCAGGGCCATTTGTGAGCCCTCTGTGCTGTCTAGTTACTGGGCTTTGCTTTGCTTTGCTGGAGGAGGAGCAAATGGGTGGAACTGATTTTGTTGGCAGCGGCCAGTGTCGTGCAGAGAGGCAGTATAGTTATGGTCTGTTTCTCTTTCTTTTATAAGAAATGTCATCCTTATTGAAGTTGTTATGTACATTCCT